TCCTGCATTGGCAGATGCATTCTTTACCACTGGGGCCATCTGGGAAACCCTAATCTCCTCATGGCCAGCATATATCCTCTTGTTTCTTAGGGAGTTCTATTTTATTATTTTTCCTCTGTGGCCCCACATTGATTTCCTTCCCAACAAAGAAAAGAGAAAGGGCACCCTTCAAGGCTCTGATTTAGTAATAATACGAATAGCAGCTACCAGTTTTCAAGCACTTACTATGTACCAGACTCCCTAGTAAGGAATTTCATAGATAGCACTTCATTTAACCCTCTCATTAATCCCTCATTAAATCCTCTGATGGGGCACTGTTATTTCCCCCATTTTGTAAATGAATAAGCTGAGATTTACAAAGATTGGGTAACGTTGCTAAAGTCACAGAAGGAGTCATGCAACAGACGAAAACCCAGGTCCTACAGATTAAAAGCCTGGTTTCAAGCCCAGCTATTAACCACCACATAATACCATCCTCGATTTGTACCCAGCTGAGCACTGTTCCTTTCCTGGAGGTGTCAGGACACAAAAGCCCAGGCTTCCATGAGCCGGTTTTCTGTAACTCCACCCAGGCGACTCTATTCTTCCCCAGCAGTACAGCTCCAGAGATTAGTAAATCAGTGGATTTACTAGGGTTACACCATAAAAAAATTAGGGTTAATAAATCCACTGATTTGTGGGCACACAGGTTTGTGGGCCTTTTCTCTCCCTCCCCCTCCTTCCCTCCTTCCTTCTCTTTCTCTCTCTCTTTTCCTCCCTCCTTCTCTCCCTCCCTCTCCTTTTCTCCTTCTCTTCCTGTCTCCCTCTCTCTCTCCTTCTCTCTCTCCTTCTCATTTACTCTCAGTCATTCCTGGCTGTGACTCAAGGATCAGCCAGCACAAATCATGCTCCTCTCTGATATTCCAACCCCACATTTTTGGTCAACACTGATGGCCTGTTCCTCTGCTCCTCTGTGTCTATCTACAATGTGACTAAGGAAATAAAAAGTATTATGGGCCTATTAAACTCTCCCCATAAACTCTCTCTCATCTCCTAACCTTCCTACCTCCCCGAGACCCTTCAAGTGTTGGCATCACTTTAGCGCTACCTAGAAGCTGACATCCAGGAGGCTCTCGGGCACTCTCCTGCTCATCTCATTGAGTGGCCTAGGAACTTGGTCTGAAGGCCAAGTTAAATAAACATCACTCTGGAAGTCTGCAGAGTGGTTCCACTTAAGAACTCAACTTTCCAGTTTAAGAAGCTTTGAAAGGACGCCTTGATTTTAACCTTAGAGATCAGTGCCTATCATTGCCAGTGCCAGATCACAGTTCCTAAATATCATTCCCCACAAAAGGAACCAGGATTGGAGAAATAGCTGGTTCCAGGACTTGTACATAAACAATCAAGGTGAGCTTGAAGTACTGAGGGGGTGGGGGCAGTGCCAAGAAGCAAGGCAGTGCTCACAGAATGATGCAGTGAACTCATTTTAAAGGGACTCTGGCGGCCAATTCTGGGATAATTTAAGCACCAAAATAGGATGATAAGATTAAGGGGGGAAAAAATGAAAATTCATGAGCTCACAGTACAGAAAAAGAGAGAGAAGACAAATGTGGAAAAATTATAATAACAGGTGAATCCAGGTAAAGAATGAATGTAGTATTCTTTTAACTGTGTATTTAAAGCTTATCAAAATAAAAAGTTGAAGAAAGAAGAAATCATTCCTCTGAATATTCTGCAATTACTAAAGCAATCTTTCCTGGCCAGGAAAATGTGAAGAAAGTTTTCCCCTGGGTTCAGTGACCTCCAGCCCTTCTCCGGTTCTCTTGCTTAATGTAACTTGTCAATGGCTATGAATGAATCGATCACATAATGGATGTTAAGACTGTAAAGAGTTGGGTTAAAACCATCTGTGACGAGCATTGTCAAGGACAGTGAGCAAATAAAGGTGCTACCACGTCTGCTGAGTACTGAAAGGTCTATAACTAAAATATAAACAAGTGTGATCCTTTCTGGCATTTGCCTGGCACTCCTTTCTTCTAAGGTTCTACGTGGCACTCAGGAAAAAGTGCCAGGGCTCCACAATGGTGTTCAGCAAGCCCTCCTCCTCCAGAATTAAATGATCTGAAGGGATCACTTGGGCGCCATCTACTGGGCAAATGCTTGCACTGCCACATGGCTCCAGGACTGTGCCCCAGCCTGTACAGACCACCCACGTGTTCAGCTGCCCCTTCACAGAGGCAGGCAGCAGCCTGCCCAGCACCAGGCAGACAGTCAACAAATACTGAAATGAATGACTTCCGCCTGTGAATTCCCCTTACATTTATTCAGTATGAGCTGTAGGTGATGAGAACCCAATAACATCATATTGATGTCTTCTTCCGGTCAAGTCCTGTTTCCACGAACGTATGGTAAACTCACGGAGGGTTCCCTGTTTCCTCTGGTGAGCTGCCTAGTGAGCCTTAAGAAATGCTCTCTTTGTGTATGTGGCTGTGATCAGGTAAACATACGCTGTATGGAATGAGGCTTTCACCACGGAATTGAACAAGCTTAACTGAACCAACACAGAACGGAATAGGAGTGTGATCATTGCTTTGTTCGTTTCATAGCATTGACCATATTCTTTTTGTCTCTCTTCTCTGAATTTCAGGTTCTAAAACGGCAGTGACTACATCTGTCTTGCTCATCATTGCACATAGAAGCATTCTTTCGAGAAACATTTTTTGGAATGCATTGTTGTTTGCTGTTCAGCTGCTAAATTGTGTCCAGCTCTTAGCAGCACCCTGAGCTGCAGCACGCCAGGTTTCTCTCTCCTTCAATATTTTTTAATGGATGGGTAGACTTATTCATTATTTCCTTTTAATGAATGGGGGCATGCATGCTCCACTTTGCCTGCCTCGTGGTGGTGACCCATTGCCCTGAGCCAATTCTGCTGTCCTTGAGCAAGTTTGATCCTACACCTGGACACCATCACCAATCCAGACCAAACAGACCTACACAGTCAGTGGTTAAACCGAGGCTAAACCCAAGACTCAACCAACAGGTACTATTTATTTGGACAGGATACAGCTACAGGATTTCTTTGGGAAAATGCAGTCCTCTGTCTTTGACTTCCTGCATGCAAATATTCTTCCCCTTCTCTGTCCTGTCCTCTAAAGAAACTCACTCACAGTGTTGAGGGTATTATTCAGGAAATATTTGTATCCTTTCCTTTGAGATGGAATATACTCTCATACTTGGCTGATCTGTGGCTCAGCCATGTGACGTCCTTAGAATATGAGTGAGTGTGATGAGAGCAGAGGCCATGAATGTGGCCGTGTGTTTGGCTTGACTGCCTGTGCTTCTGCGACCCACTCAAAGCAGATTACATCCCAAACTGCTGCTGTGGTCTGAGCTCCGAGCTCCAGAGTTCAACCCAGGCCAACCCAGCTGACACCAGTTAAACCCCAGCCAACTCACAGACACATGATAGAGAAAGATACACATCTATCCTTTTGAGGTTGACTCTTCTGCAGCAAAAACTGACCAGTACATATGAACACAGTATCACCACCACCCGTGAAGGCTTTAACTTAGAAATCTACTCTCGGACCACAATACCTCTTTCATCTACGTGTTCCGTGGCTTTATTACCACTAAGCCTGCCTTTCCATCTCATCAGCACCTCCAGTCTCTATTTTCTTTACCAGGTTCATTTTGGTTTTGTGTCCTGCCCACACTGGACCAACTCTTAGGTCAACCACACAACTGCTTTCATTCACCTCTGCCGGAGTTTGTGATGGACAGGGAGACCTGGCGTGCTGCGATTCATGGGATCGCAAAGAGTCGGACACGACTGAGCGACTGAACTGAACTGACCCTGCTGCTGGTGAGCATCACCCACCTGTCCAGGCTGCATCACCTACATATTAGTTCCAGCTTCCACTGGGTCCTCGGCCATGCTTCGGCTTCTAACTTCTTGGTGGTGGGCGCATTTCCCCATTCATCAGGTGGCTCTCCCAAAATTTTGGTACTCTCAAGCCTCCGCTTCCCTTCTACTCTGCTATCATTAGAGAATTGCTATGCTGCTTTGCAGAGAAAACAGAGCTACAGGAATTCATCAATAGGAGGTAGGTGAGAACAAGGGGTCTGAAATCACACAGGCCCCTAAACCACACAGACTTAGGTGTCTTAGGTATTTTCCTTACCCTTTGCCCTAGACTCTTGCGTTTTTGCTACATGTTTGATCAGGCAAGAAATACCAATAACACTCCATCCTCTATTTCTGTGGACTGGAAATATCGTTTGTAAGAGTAAAATTAATGAGACTCTAAAACCATCCTGATTGCTTCTAATTTAAATGGGGAATATGTAAAATAGGCTTAACAAAATAATAACAGTTTATACATTGCTCCAGATCCTGCCTCTCAGAGTGATATTCACCACTGGGTTGCTGCATGGGGGAATCTTAAACTGGGAGACAGTTTAGATTTCCACTCCATTTTCAAAGGATTATTGACACAGCGGGGAGCACTAATAAAGATTAAGCAATTCTTGGAGATCAAGCAGAACCCAGAAAGAATCCCTTTCCTGGGACAAATGGCATGCTGACAATTTGATGTGGGTTCCAAGAATTGAACTCAGGATTCAGGAAGTTTTCCATTAGGAATTCATATTTAAAATGCACTACAGACTTAGCATTTTTGAAGGCTTATTCACTACCAGCTGACCAATGACAGCACGCAGTTGCTTCTGGAATGGACATGAGGCATGCTTGTGTGCGGAGTGCCTTGGCTTCATTCAAGAGAGAGGGGAAGATTTAAGAGGATACAGAAACCTCCCGTGGCCAATTCCAAACAGATGTCCACAATCCACACCCAGCAGAAGGAAGCACATCTTTGTTTCTTATAGTCTTACCTAGAAAGCCTCCTGGTCACAAGTTTTCCAGAACTCAACGAGTCCAACAAGATAAACCTTAGTCCACGGCAAGGTGAGACTTTAAAGGAGCCTGCACTAGAGATGGGGCTAGGTCAGGGGCTACTCACGCATACAGTCTCCTCCGTACCAGCCCGCACGGCACTCTGCACAGTAGATGCCCTTCACGTAGAAGTCGTCCAGGGTACCCCCCCAGGAGCCGTTTCGGCACGTCTTGCAGTTTTCAAAGATGGTGCAACCTGAAACATTTCCAAGCAGAAAGGTGTTCGATTAAGCACATGCAGGTTCTGATGGGCTGCACGAGAAACTGTGGACTTTGCCAGGATCTTGTCTTACCTAAGAGCATCTGGACTTAGAAAGGTGCCCTTAGGAAAAAATGCTCATCCCTAGGAAGATGCTAGAGTCACCAGCATTCAGACTGAGGAGTTTAGGGGATGGTCTGAACCATCTTCCAGGTTAGCGGCTGATGGCTTGTTTTAAAAAAATTTAGCTTTTGGTCTTCATTATGAACTTCAATTTTCAATAAAATACAATGCTATTTAAACTTATTTTTAGTCATTATGTTTTACAAAGCAAATAATATTGATGAAAATACCTCCAAATCGAAGACTGACAACAAATGCTTACTATTACATTAAAACCAAACCTAAATTACATTGTTGTCTGTGCTGAAGGAGAAACCTCTTGCTGGTTGTAAATTTTTCACATCTTTTACAAGGATGTCCTATCTCATGTATCATCAGTAACCTGAAAAGTATTATGAGATACTGAAAATATTTAGTAATAACCTTCCAGATTGATTTCACATTTTGGTTTCAATTCATAATTTTTTAAAAAGTCAACATTGAGATAATTCAGATGCCATAAAATTTACTCTTTTAAAGTGTACAATTCAGTGGGTTTTAGCATATTCACAGAGTTGGGTAACCATCACCACTATCTAAATGTAGGATATTTCATCACCTCCCCCCTACAAAGGACTCCATACTTATTAGCAGTCACTCCCTTCCCCTGTCCCTGATCCCTGGCAACTAGTAATCCACCGGTCATTTCACATACATGGAAGCATGCAACGCATGACCTTTCTTGTCTGGCTTTTTTCATTAGTGGCTGATGCTTAAATGCAAAATGAAACAACCTGTAGTGAAAGGCAGAATACATCAATACAGAGTATTTTTTTCTCTTTATAAAAGTATCACATATTGATTGTGGAATATTAAGAAGATTTGAACACGCAAAAAGAATTCAATTGAAAACACCTAAAATTCCATTACCCAGAGAAAATCATCTGTAATACTCTCCCTCTGTATATACACAAACATTTTTTAAAAATTAGGCTTATATTATACATTGCACATTCTGTTTTACTTTTTGATTTAATAAAAATAGTAAACACCTTCCCATTCCATTAAATACCTTAAATGTCATATACTCCTATAGCCAGAGTGTGCTATTAATAGCCTTAGTGCCTATTAACGGGCTCACCTTGGAAGGTGTCAGGCTGCCCCTGGATCAGGAGACCACACCGGAGTGGACTGAGCAGACCTCAGTCAAGGGTTATTTGTAAATCCATGGCTAATTCATCTCAATGTATGAGAAAAACCACTGCAATGATGTAAAGTAATTAGCCTCCAACTAATAAAAATAAATGAAAAAAAACAAAACAAAACAAAAACAAAATAGAACAAGAAAAAAAAAAAAAAACATGGCCTCCTGAGAGGTGGGGGACATTGAGGAAAGGTAGAGATAATCCAACCCCGCTCATTAAAACAGAGCGCTGAATTCTGGCTCCCCCATTCATGGTCCAGCTGTGTGTCCTTGAGCAAACTGCTTAAGTTCTCTGTGCCTCAATGTTCCCATCTGTAAACCTGGGGTTAAAAAATGTACTTAGCTCAAAAAGTTGATTTAAAAATTAATCTCACACCCATAAAGGGCCTGGCACATAGCAAGCACCCCCCAAGTATGAACTATTATTACTCTGCATTCCCATACTTCACTTACTTGGCTTATCCCCACCATAGCATTTGGCATGCTCAATTTTAACTGTCTCCTATCTGGTTTCCTATATAGACTGAAGTCAGGGACTGCATCTTATTCAACATTATATCTCCCCACACTTAATACAGTATCTGGCATGTAGTAAGTGTTCCAGAAATATTATATGAGATTTGAGAGAATGAATAAATGGATAAGTGGACAGATGGAGAGATGAATGAACTGCTAATCCAGGATTCTGAACTGTTTGAGATAACCAGCATTTCCTTGAGCTGATAGCATACTTTTTTCTTTGGCTAAAATTAGGTTTTCGTTGGCCCACAGTGCATATATGCAGTGTACACATGTGTGATGTCTGTGAGAGAGACTTGTAGCTCTCTCTGCATGCCATTCTGCCTTTGCTCCCTTCTTCCAGTGCTTGCTTCTTCCAACCAGAAAAGAATTGCTAATACGACTCATCAGAGTTCATATGGCCCACAACTGGGTCCCAGGGGGACTACTGTGTCACATTCCCATCTGATTCCCTCCCCGCTGCACCACCGAAGAGGTCAATGGACTCCATCTGCCTTCGATGACCCTGCCAGCTCTCTCCCCAGGCCATTAGGGGCAAGCCATTAAAAACCAGTTTGGTGATTAAGATGAACAAGGCTATGTTAAAAAGACACCAAGCAGCTCACAGAATTGCCCGAATGGTAAGAGAACCAAGGTCAGAGCTAACAGCCTAGCAATGCACTGAAAGACACAGCCAACTTGCTCCATGAGGGCCCCGGTGCTGCCGGACGTCAGCACTACCATCCCCACCCCCGGGCCTCCCAAGTGGCGCAGTGGTAAAGAATCCGCCTGCCCATGCAGGAGATACCAGAGACACGGGTTCGATCCCCGGGTCAGGAAGATCCCTTGGAAGAGGGAATGGCAACCCACTCCAGTATCCTTGCCTGGAAAATCCCCATGGACAGAGGAACCTGGCAGGCTACAGTCCATGGGGTCACAAAAAGTTGGACATGACTGAGCACACACACCCACGTGGCACCACCAGGCCCCTGGGCATTGATCCTCGTGCAATTACTGCCATCACAGGAGAAAGAATGATTGTCCATCATGATGACAAAAGTGACAGAAATTCTAAAACCAGGCAGAGATCCCATTTCTCACGTTTGAGACGGACAAAATTCCAAAATGACACATTCTGTTGCAAGACTTCGGGAAAAGAATACTCTCATGGATGGCTGCTGTGAACGCCAAATGCATGGAGGAGAATTTGGCAAAGGCTGGAAAATGACATATGCACCTCCCTTTGACTCAGCAATCCTTCTTCCAGGAACCTATCCCAGAGATATGCTGCAAAAATACTAGCTGATATATGCCTGAGGCTATTCACTACAGTAGTATTTATAACAGCAAAAAGCTAGAAACAATCCAAATACTCATAAACTATGGTAATCCACAGTTTATGATGCACAATGCACTTATGTGCAACTGTAAAAAGAAGTGGGAAAAAATGGCTTTATAACGTCAGTGAGCAACCTCCAGCATATATTGTTAAGAGAGAAAAAAGCAAGGTAGTCAGCAGTATTTATGGCATGCTGTCTTTTGTGCATGAAGGGGAAAGACACATAAATGCATACACAGATTTGCTTCTATTGTCAAATATAAACCTACCTACATATCAAGCAAGTAGGTTTCAAGTAGGTGGTATAACACCATAGATAAAAGAACTACAATTGACTTTAAAACATAGTATTTTGACTCTATAACCTAATGAGATATATTCTAAGGTGAATAAAAACCATAAGCATCAGTGCTTTTATTAGTAACACCTATAATGCTCTAGTGTGGCTTTGTACAAATTTAAGAAAAAGTGAGTAAGTGATTGGTTTAGTATTATTAGGACACAGGATTTTCACCACACACAAAAAAAAAACATACAAATACATAATCCAAGATGTTAATTAACAACCTTGGAATGTTACATTTGAACTTGAGTAGCAGTAAAAACATCTAAAAAATGCACATTTCCCAGTTCTAGACACTTAAGAAAACAAACAAAACCCTGTAGCAATGACAGTCCAACACAAGGAACACCTCAGGTGACCAAATCATGGTCTCAAACCAGAGTTCCTTGGAAAAATGGCTGATTCCAGATCTGGGGCAAAAAACAGACAAGAAGAAATCAAGAAATCTTCAGAATCAGTGTGGTCATGCCAGATGAACACGGAACCCATTATCATAAGATGGGATGTGTGCATTAAAATAAATAATGACTGAAATGGATTAAACCACATAAATAAATAAAAATGCCTGAGTTCATAAAGACACTCACACACACACAGAGAAACCTCTTTGATCACCGATAGGGACTGCTGGAACATCAATTCACTATTTTTGAAAATAAAATTTTTAGAAAAGTCTTTCTCTAGTTCTTCCTTTCAGGGTACCCATATGATTAGTGTGGAACAGCTCTTCACTACTCAGTTGAGAAGACCCTTCCTAGCATCAGTTAAGGTAGGTGCCTTCTGTATTGATGTAATAAGTTGTTGGGTGCAGGTGTGGCAGATATTGATGGCCTTCTATAAGATGCAATATGAAGCATACAACACTCCTATGATGTTCCCTTACTTACCCCATGACCTCATGCCATCTCGTAAAGCCAAAGCCACCCCCCGCCCCCCACTGCCACACAACAGTAATTGTTAGCCTTTTGAAAGTATTGAAAGTTCAGACTTCTGTACCTCTGCCAAGGACCTCTAGTCAGGAGACCCTGACTTAGCGCTCAGATTTTCCTTAGAAAATCTAGAGGCACTGCTCAACTATTTCTCTGCAAACCCTACTCATGATCAGGGAATTGGAACAATGGGTTTCTTTTCTGGATCAAATGTGCAAGGGTCATGCTGAGGTCATTTCTATTTTAAAGTTCAGGATTACTCTCTTCCAAGAAGGAAGATGGTTTAGACGTAACACCTGTATACTTGAGCCCTGTTTTCTCTCCTATTACTTTCCCCAAAAGAAAGTTCTGGGTAGTAGTGAGCATCATTCTCCGTGTTTGTAAAAGAAGGGGAGAGGCAGAAATGGGAGAAGTTCCCAAAGCCTATTTTTGACATCCTTTTAGTCTTCAGTGTAAGGAAAGTGTATTTGAAATTCTCTACATCCTCTGTTTGAGCAGGCCTAGAAGGGAAAAGGACTCACAAGGCAGCAGATATGAAAGAACCAAGAAACCATTCAGTGAGCTGCTAATCACACTAGAAGCACATTAAGAGTGAAACTCAGTGTCCACACGGCTCTCAGCAGACAGGCACTTCAGCGAAGGAAAATCACTGTCTCCTCTGTGGTGGGGGCCAGGGAAGCGGGGGTTTGGGGGAAGGCAAGTCTAGCTTGATGTAAAGGCAAACGAATGGGCACCGTGACCTGGGAAGGCCCCATCTCATCCAGGATGCTCTCATGTCACTGGATGCTGTGGTGGTACATGCATGCTCAGTCCGATTCTTTGTGATCCCAAGAACTGTAGCCCACCAAGCTCCTCTGTCCATGGGATTTTCCTGGCAAGAATACATATTCCTGGGACCAGTTCCCAAATACCCATCTCCCAAATGCCCAAGCATCATCCTTGACTTCTGCTCTTCCCTTCCCTTCCAACCAACTCCAAAATGCCATCAACTCCACTCTCTAATTGCTCTCAGACCCCTGCACCTCTCCCCTTGCACAGGGTTTCTGTTCATCAGGGTCTCCATTATTCTTCCCCTACCTCTGATCATGCCCTTCCTCCAATCTTTCCTCCATACTGCGGCTGAAAGGAAAATCAACTTTCACCTCTTTACTAAAAGATCTCCAAGTGTTACATAAAACATCTTCAGGATATAGCTTAAACATCATAGTACAGCCTGCAGAGCCCTTCAGCATCTCACGCATGTTCTCTCCTTGATCTTTTGTCTGTCTCTCTCCAGGTTTCCCATCATACACACACACACATGCACACACACGCCTCCAGCCAGACTAAGCTATTTCCCTAAACTCCATGCTTCCTCTTGCCATGGGGCCTTAGCACATGCTATTCTCTATGGCCTGACCTCTACTAGATTCTCTTCCTGCTCTTCAGTTTGCTGCCTGCATCTTCAGCACGCATATCACCCCCTCTAATAAGTCACCTACCCCCGTCCTCCAGGCTCCCATGGCACCTGTGTTCTCTTATCACAGCACCTCCCACGATAGGTTACAGCTACCTATTTACTCTTCCATCTCCCCCACCAGGCTGCAAGTTCTAGAAATGCCAGCAATGTCTCTTTTTCTAAAGCACTGTGTTCCCAGTACTTGCCATAGAATATAGGGGCTGCACAGTCTGTTTGTTCAATGAATGAATAAGTAGATGAATCCACAGCTTTGTAAGTTTGGCACTGAAAAGGGCACTAACTCCTCCAGTCCCTCCGCCTGTAGTTAGAGTGGGTGGAGTTATGCCACTTTTAATCATCATGGCATCACAACCCCTGATGTCTACCTGTCAGAATTCAAGGGTTCTGCCAGCTTCCATCAGTGACCTCAGAAAACACGGTGGCGACCTGAGGTCTCCCAGCGCACACTCACCTGGGTGAATCAGGCAGGAGTCACATTCATTCTCCTCATTCCTGCAGCACGGGATGGTATAACCCACCACTTCCTTCTTTCCAGGGCACTCACATTTAATCTGATCGTATTCACAGCACTCCCGACACATGATATTCCACTCAGCTCCAGGGCAGGCTTCATTAATGACTGTGTACTCTGAAACAGAAAGCAGCAAGTGAGGATGGAGGGCCTGGCAGGAATAGGAAAGACCCAGAAGTTCTCTACTGCCAAGAAGCACCTTGCCCTACCTGCCCGAAGGATGTTCAAAACCATCCAGTGGGGCACAGGTGAAATTTGTTATTTCAAATTTCAAATGTGCTATTCATTTTTATTTTTAATAAAAAGAAATCATGTTTTATCAATATAGAATCTAAGTGAATTAACACACATACACATAAATCACTAAAAGCATACATTTCCTGCGTGTCTATGTTTATTTCTATTTTTGCTAGGGTATATCAGACCACTGCTTACAGCTACACAGGTTGCGCACTGCATAATTCCAGAAGGAACCATCCAACTACAAAGCTGCATAGCACAGTCCAGCATTTGGGCCATCAAAAGAGTCTGGTGACCACTCTCTAGGCTAGTTCTATCAAGTACAAGGCTGAGTGCCAAGTAGAGACCATGTCATTTCCTCCAAACTTGGCTCCTGGATTTTGTAGCAAGCCATTTTTATGGTATTTTCAAAGCTAAAACCAGCAGAAAAGACAAAAAGTATCTTAATTAGTATGTTTGGGAGAATTTCAATGTTTTACAAGAGTGAACTCATTGGCAGAACTTCATTCAATCCCCCAATACAACTGAGTGCTCTTTCCCATGAGAAAACAGTACTCCTTTCTGGATAGAATTCCTCTCTTTTTTCCTAAAATATATCTTAGGTAAATGAAAAAGAAAAACCATCTGGCAAAAACTATAAGAGTAATCAGTTGGAGGTTGCCCAGAGGAATCCAGGCTAAGAAACAGACCTCACTTTGATTTCCTCTTGCTCCTGCCCCCAACTCTCTAGTCCTAAAAAATTTTGCACTAAGATGATGACTGAAGCAGAACTAGGTCAGATATTTGAGGAAGAAAGTGAATCTGGCTTCCCTGTGAAGACTTCCCTAAAAACCGTAGGCCAGGACCCTCATCAAACTTTTGTAGACCCATGTAAACCAACTCTAAAACCTATGGTGGCTTCTAACCTCTTAAATTTCATAGCTTAGTTTTCTGTTTTCCTTCCCTAAATTTGGAAGTCTGACAAAGATCAGATCATTCTTTATTTGCCAAGTAGAGCCATATAGAAAAACTCTCACCATCTTCTCTCAGCCTCTGGTCATAAGAACATTCTAGCATCATAGAAAGGAACCACGTGCATGATAAGGGATAGTTTCTTAGAATGAATGCATGTAGTTTTATGAAAAAAATTCCTCACTTCTTCCCCACAAACACCGGTAGGGCAGCAAAGATCCTCATGCTGGCGTCTGGGAACAACTGGCTTCGATCACTATGATATTGTCACCGCTGGAATTTTGTTTGCTGAACTATTCTGTGAGCTCCTCTCGGACAGACACTAAAACTTAGCTGAGCTTCTCATGTTTCGATTCTGGTGGGATGAAGTGAATACTTTTCAAAATCTAGAAGAGAACTTAATGGTTAAAAGTGAAGGAAAGTAAAAGAAAACATAGGAGTAAGTCTCCACGACCCTTGACTTGGTATGATCTTGGATTCTTAGGCATGACACAAAAAAAACAACAGAAGATAAACAGATAAATTGGATTCATCAAAACTAAAAACTTTTGTGCAACAAAGTGGATTCTTAAGAGAGTGAAAGGACAACTTAAAAATGGGAAATTTTTCAAATCATATATCTGATAAGGATTTAATACTCAAAACATATAAAAGACCCCTTCAAATCAACCACAAAAACCCAAACAACCCAATTTTAAAATGGGCAAATGGCATGAATAGATATTTCTCCAGAAAAAATATACAAATGGCCAATAAACACATGAAAAGATGCTCAATACCACAAGTCACTAGGGAATTGAAAATCAAAGCCACAACAAGATAACACCTTACACACACTAGGATGGCTATAATTAAAAAAAAAGAAAAGGAAAATAACAAGTGTTGACAAAAATGTAGAGAAGCTGGAATCCTCGAATATTGCTCAAGGGAATGTAAAATGGTGCAGCTTCTGTGGAAACCAATTTGACAGTTCCTTCAAAAGCTAAACATTGAATTAACATGCAGCTCAGCAATTCTACTCCTAGGTGTACACCCCCAAAATCAAAATTAGAAAGTGAAACGGATACTTGCAGCATTATTCACAATAGACAAAGGGAAGAAACAACCCAAGTGTCCACCAAGAGATAAGTGAATAAGCAAGAAGTGGTGTATGCACACAGTACTTTGGGTGTGGAATATTGTTCAGCCATGAAAAGGAACAAGATGCTGATACAAATTACGATAAGGACAAACCTTGCAAACATACTAAGAGGCCAGACACAAAAGGGCAAATATTTGCCACTGAATTGTATGCTTAAAATGGCTAATGTAGCAAATTTTATGTTATTTTTATTATACTTTCAATGTTAAAAAATAGAGAAATCAAAATGCTTTTAAAGGCTTAAGCATCAGAGTCAGACAGATCTGGGTTTGGAATCCCACCTCTGCTACTTACAGGGTGTATGATCTTGGCTGAGTTAGTTTACTCACTCAGTCTCAGTTTATCATCTAATGAAATGAATTCATTGTATAAAACTCAGGAGCTAGCTGAAAGGACTAGATAAGACAATGTATATAAAGAGTTTATCAGAGTACTTAGTATATAATGAACATTCAATAGCTATCAGCTTAAGAAGAAAGATACTATAACTCCATATTTCTCAAGGATCTCATCTGTTGAATATACCACATATCATCTCCTTACATAAAATGTTTCTGTTGTTTCCAACTGCATTTGGAGCATACCTCAAATGCTCTGGTATGGTTCCCAAGGGTTTTGAGAGCTGCTCTCTCCTGAGTCCTACAGCCTTTCCTTGGTGACTATATTCCACCTTCTATTTCTCAAAGCCACAAAGGTCTTGCTCATCCCAGGGCCTTCACACATGCTTTCCCCACTGCCTCTATCAAAACATTGGGCTTCGGTGTAAATGACACCTATTGAGAACGGTCCTCACTGACTTTCTCATCTGAAATTTGTGCCTCTGCTCATCCTTCCATAGTATTCTCTATCAGAGCATCCCAGTTGCTTGCTTTCGCAGCCTTTACCACGATGTATAATCCCTTTCTGTGTTTCCACCCACTGGTATGTCATCTGTCTCCCTCACATGACCATAAGCTGGCAGGAACATCACCTGATTTGTCCACCATAGATAGGGATCGGCCTGGCATGCAAGAGACACTGGATAAATCCCTGTTGAATGAATCAGCCTCCACTCTAGAGCTTCAATAGTCAAGGATTTTCATTGAGTGGGTCCAGCTCGGAGCGATGAGCCAGGAGAGCTTGTTCTGCTCAATAATTTGCTGTTCTCAAACAGGGGCAGTTTCCCTCCCATGATGAAGGGTGTAGAACAACTGGTCCAGGTTATCTAACTTGGGTCCCAATCCCTTGGCGCCAGCCCCAGCCTTATCCAGTAGTATGATTTCTCAACTCTCTGAACATCTGACATGCCTGTGGGGTGTGGCTCACGTCTTATCCCTCCCTTTGCTCATCTGAGGGCAAACATTCCATCTTTCCAGGTTTTCTAAGAATTTACAAATATTGATGATTCTTGGGGGACACTGACAGAATAAAAATTACTTGCAACTTTTGTAAGTCTTGTACTTAAATGTGGAAAGCCAAGCAAGGTTTGCTCCACAGCAGCAGAGGGTGGAGCCTGTTTTTCCTAAAGCAACAGGCTAGTCTAGCCATGGAATATTGCGGGCGTCCCTTTACCCAAGAAATTAATTCCCTAAAATGCCTTCACTGGCATTTCTTTTTATTTCAATGAACAAGTCCACCTCTGCCCTCCCTAGCACATACATTAATTTTATAGGTACGGTCCAGAATATTGTATCATCTTAGCCAAAGGGAATGACTCCAGGGAAGTAGTCCATTTCTATACTGTCTGCCAAGTCAGTCAGCTGGCTCCTTCCCAAGCAGTCTGTCTGGAAGACGGAAAAACAGCCCCAAAGATGTCCATATTTTCACCTCCAGGACCTATAGAAATGTGACCTCACATGACAAAAGGAATTTTGTCAATGTGACAAATCTAAGGATCCTGAAATGGGGAGAGGATGATGGGGGCTTGTCCAGGTAGGACAAATGTAACCTCAAGGATCTTTATAAACGGGAGGCAGGAGGGTCAGAGTCAGAATAGAGGTGTGACAACAGCAGCATCAGACAGATCAGAGAGCTGTGCTGTCGAGATGGAAGAAGGTACCACAGCTGAAAGAACACAGGCAGCCTGCAGAAGCAGGACGAGGAAAGGAAACAACTTCTCCCCTACAGTATCCAAAGAAGGCAGGCCTGCCATCACCCTGATTTCGGCCTCCTAAGGCTCACTGCAGACCATTGAGCTCCAGAACTGTACAAAAATATAGCTGCACTGTTTTAAGTCACTAAGTTTGTGGTAATGTTACATCATCCACAGGGAACTTAACACCCTGTGTCTTCTCAAAAGAAAGGTTAACCCAGGGCCAGTTATTTAACCACCCTGGTCCTCAGTTATCCCTCTGAGTACAGTGCCAAGACTGAGGGTGAACCGATGAGTTCATTCTTTCATCCCACAAGTGCTTACTGAGTGTCCGCCACGTCCCAGGTAGGAGGCTGAGTGCTGGGATACAATGGAGAGGAGAACAGACACCATCCCCACGGACTTTCATGGAGAAGCAGACGTTGGATGAACTCACAGCTTCAAAGAAGAGTAGACTTTGGATGAAGGACCTCACACACACAGAATCACTCACTGTGACGAGGAAACTAACAACGCAAAGAGGACAAATGGATGGTCATGGAGGGATATTAGCACCACATCTACAGGACTACAGGGTTAAGGGGGGTTAAATAAAATAACAAATAAAAGTCTATCATTTGCCAAGATAAGATCACTTCCCAGGAATATGGAAGTGAGGGGGGAGGAGGAGGAAGTGTTAATGGTGTTATTGACTCAGCCCCTCTGGTCTGGTAA